AAATCACTAAAAGGGATAAAGATGATGTTTTAGAAGAAAGAAAAACCATCAGCGTCCAGGTTGGTCAATCCGTGTTTTCCAAACCTGTGTTGTTTTGTTTGTTTTTTTTTTCTCATGTTTTAAAATCATTGTTTTTTAAAATAGGTGCAGCAATTAAAATTCCTAGGAAAGCTTGGGAGTGTTCAGGTGGCTCTTGGGCCAGTCCCTTGCAAGTCAGCCACACAGTGGTGCAGTTCCTGGCAATAGAGAGCTGGAGGGGGAATCATTTGGGAAGCATAAGTCATGATTTATGCTGCTGTTAACCTGTTTTAAAGCCCTGTCATCAAAATTAAAAATTTTCCTTTCAACTGGATACCAAAGACGCTTCAGAGTGACTTTGAGGTGACATTGAGATGAGCTTTTATTTAATTTCTTCAGAAGAGACATAGGATACAGCTGGTTTTCCTCCATGATTTCTGATTCCAGTCTCAAGTGACTTATTTACAAAGAGTGCTGGAGCTCTGCCAAGTTTTCTTCTGTTTGATGGAAAGCAGAGATTTTCTAACAAAACTGATTCTATCTCCATTAGATTCTTGCAGAATCATGCACGTGTAGGCTTCTCACATGTTGTTTTTTCCTGCATGCACTGGTGTAAACTGCTCTTTCAACAGGACTGTTAAGAAAGATGATGTTTATTTTCCCAAACAGGATTTCAGCATGGGCCCAAGGAACAAAGATGGAAAGCTGGTAAAGACCAAGCCCACTAAAGCTGATGCAGAGAAAGCAGATCGATCCTCCAAGCTGGACTTCGTCTACGACAGCACAATCCACCCATTTAAATTCAGCCCTCAGACCAACCTGAAAGATTCAAGCAGCAGCCTGGACTACGCCAAGAACCTGGGCACATTTATCCCTCCCATCAACCAGAACTTCTCTCCTACATTTGGGATGGGGTCTGGGCCTGGGAACCTTAATTACAGGTAGGGGAGCAGAGCTAGGAGGGCTCATATCCAGCATTCCTGGGGCATCCTGGGAGGGGCAGGCTGATGTGGGAACGCGAGACGCGGGGTTTGGGACACCTTGCATTTGTTGTTTTATATTGGCTGTGTTAGCCCAGCTAGTACCAACTGTGAGGTATTTTTGATTACAGACTTGATGAAAAGAGTAAAAAATACTTGAACCCCTTGCTAAAGGCACGGAAGCCTTCTCCAGTGGGGCGTTGCAGTGTCAGCTTGACACCGGTGAGTCGTCTGTCTGTCAGTCTGTCCCTCTTGGCCAAGCAAAAATAATTAAATTGTGTGTTGTATTCTCAAGAACTCCATCTGGTGCATCTTTCACCATAACTCTGCACTAGAAATACTGGGTTTGTTACCCCCTTTTTTCCTGCAGACTTTTTGTTCATTATCCCTTGCTAACAGTTCTTACATAAAATATATTTTATGTGAGTAAACAATTTTAAATGAGGCGAGCGATCCAGCACAGGAGATCTGTGAGATTTGAAGTATATCCATGGCCTCCTGCCTGGCCAGGAAAGATAGACCATGTGTGCTGTGCTACTGAAGCAGAACTGAGGGTTTGGATTTAATGTGGCCAGGGCCTTACTTAGTCATGTCATAACTGCATTAAAAATTGATAAGGAAAACAAGTGAAATGGGAAGTTTTCTCTGCTCTCACTACCTAGGCATGATTATTACTGTGCCAGCCAGAAACATTTGCTTTTTTACAGATAATTAATCCAGCCGTTCTCAAGTGCTGTATTTTATCTTTCTGAAAGCAGCCTCAATTAGATGAATGTTTTTATTTTGCTGCTGCTTTTCCATTGCTTGTGTATAAATAGCACTTGAGCAGGTTGAATTCCTTCCACACATAAGAGTCTTTTGTCTCACTCTTGGACAAATTCCAGCTACATCAGAGCATTGCTGTGTTACTGCTTTTTTTAAGCTTGAAAATAGCTTTATTTTTTGTTTATATTTTCATGAGCTGTTCCTTATGCCCTTGATTACAGGTTACTAATGAAAAACCTATCCTTCAGCCGAGTAAGAAGAAATGGGAATTCCTCAAGACAGATATGCGTTTGCCAGAACTAAATCATCTCCCTGAGCTGAGGGGAGCAGAAGGTAGGAACTTTGAGGTCCTCTAAATAAAACCTGGGAACCAAACAAGTGTCAGGAAGCAGTGTGCCAGCTTTCACTCCTTAAACATGGCTTGCCTTGGTGGTATTTTGCAGGTCGGCAATTCAGATTTCTGAAAAAGGAAAAGAGAATGTTCGCAGAGCCCCGAGTCCCCTCCCTCGCTGCTATTGACCTTCATTACTCAAGTCTGGCTTCACAGCAGGTATCAAAGCAATAAAGTGATTTGTGCTGCTCAGTATTTGTTTGGTTTGTGACTTTCTCAAAAGCAGGGCCCACAGAATTCCAGTTTGACTCCTAAAGGAGCAGAATTTGCCCCGGGATCGTAAGTCTTACACTGGGGGAGCATTTTTGAAGCTTGATTCTACTAAAGAACAGATTTGTTTTGAATTTGGTGTTGGCATTGCATGTGTCTTTAGAAGGCTGTTTGCTGATTGTCTTCTCTGTTGATGCTACACTTGGGAATTGATCCTGTCTCTTTCTTTCCCAATTTACAGCTGTCAGGGACCTTGATGCCAGATGCATCAGAAGCTAACTTCCCCTGGGTCGAGCACTAGCCCTGGGGAGATGGTCACACCTGCCTGTAAAAGGTGGGCTTTAATTTCTGGTGTGTAGCCTGCTAGGGGCTTCCAAATGGGTGGTTTTGTGAACCCTCACTTAGGGATGGGAAGCGCAATAGGAAAATTCTTTTGTACTTCACATTCTTGGTCAGGACATGCAGCTATGACAGATTTCTTAGAGTACACGGCTTGCTGTGCCCGGTAAATTATTTTCCTGAGCTGAGGTGCTGGGCATTGGGGTTGGAAAAGAAGCAGCTCACGATATTGGGTGGGGGGTGGGTTGAGCAAACTGGTAGAACAACAAAAAAAGGGGAAGCTGGCTGCCTGCATATGAGGAGGGGAAAAAACAACTCAAGTTTGTGATCTGCGGAGCACAGAGGTGTAAGTGCACAGCTTCAGCAAGGTAAGGATGTGTAACAAAGCAAAATAAAGGAAGCCTTTCACCAGGGAGTATCTCTGTGTTTTCTTAGTCTGTCCAGAGTCATTCTCCTTTTCTCCTCTTGATGCAGGTGACTGAACAGTGGGAACAATCCATCTGAGTTTCCAGGGGCTAAAGCTGCCAGGGCTCTGCAGGGGAGAGGAGGATCCCTTACTCCTGTTGGTGCAGCAGACTGCTTGGGTCCAGGCCAAGGATGGAGCTTGCACTGCCATTGCTGCTGGATTTCTTGCATGCAAAAAGCCCCTGGAATGTTGACTTTCTGGCTTAGGGCCAGGCCTTCTCTGAGAGGCGTAGTGGTCATTGGTGTGTGACAAGGGCAGGAGCTGCTTTGGAGGATTCTTAAGGAAGTTGGGCTTTCTTCTGTCCAGCTGCTGCCCGCCCTAGGGGTTTGTTTTTCAATGAATCGTGACAAAAGCAGCAGTCAGAATTCTCATATTTCAGTGGGCTGCCTGACCTGGATTGAAAAGCACCTTTGCCTTGACAGTGAAGAAAACATTTGTGCAAGAAATACAATATCTAAATGTGCAAATCTGCCGCTGTTCCTTTGAAACCCTCGCTAATGCACTTGTCACTTTGTTTTAGGTTCCTTTTTCCCTCACATTTTCGACCCCATGCTTGGGCAGTTGTCTTTGGGGTGTTTGCCCTGGGCAGGTTGTCTGGCTGTTGTTGATGATGAAGGAAGGAATATCCCTGTGGAATACTGAGCTGTGATGGAGGTGATATGTGGAATGTCAGAAACTGAGTCATCATTCCTTTAGGTCCCTTAGGAGAATGGAATGGAAAACTTGACTGTTTGGCAACAATTTTTGTTTACTTGCCATTAGTTTGTCTGTGCTTAGTTTTGGGCTGTCCCTGTGTTGTCCCTGTTTTCCATCACCTGTCACAACTCACATGGTGTCATTAACTTATTTTCCCACAAAATACAGCCTTTCCCATTGATGTATCATGACAGAATATGGTCTGAACCCATTGTATTTAGGGATTTGTCTCCATGATGTCTCTTGACGTGTACATTTCATTTGTAAATAAAAAGATCTTCCAATTCCAGGCTTGACTGTCCCCATAGTGGATGCTCCACTTGGCCACAATAGTCAGTCAGGTAGCCATGGGCAAATGCAGGGGGAAAAGAAGGTTTGGAGGGGGAAGAGTGGAGGTTTGTGGGGGGAAAGTTTGGTTTGTGGGGGGAAGGTTTTGCATGGGGAAGAGTGTGGCCAGCAGGCCCAGGGAGATGATCCTCTACTTGGCCCCAGTGAGGCCACATCTGGAGTTCTGTGTTCAGTTCTGGGCTCCACAGGTCAAGAAAGACAAGGAGCTACTGGAGAGGGTCCAGCAGAGGCTGAAGATGATGGAGGGGTCTGGATCATCTCTCTCAGGAGGAAAGACTCTAGGAGCTAGGCCTGCTAAGTCTAGAGAAGAGAAGACAGCAGGAATCTCATCAGTCCATACAACTATCTAGCAAGGTGGGTGTCAAGAGGGTGGTGCCAGATTTTTGGTGTGCTCAGCAACAGGACAAGGAGCAGTGGCCAGAAACTAAAACACAAGGAGCTCCACCTCGGTGTGAAGACTCACAGAATCTGCTCAGTTGGAAGGGACCCACAGGGATCACTGAGTTCAAGGAGTGTTCGGACAAAACTCTCAGGAACCTGGTGGGATTGGTGGGGTGCAGGGTCAGGAGTTGCACTTCGTAATCCTTCATGGTCCCTTTGGTATATTCTGTGATTCGCCTTGGAGTTCCCTCTCTGGGTGACCCTGCCTCGGCAGGGAGCTTGGACTGGGCGTCCTCCAGAGCTTCCCTCCAACTCGAACCAGACTTGAGAAGGGGAACACGAATGTTCGTTCAAGCCGGGGCGGTGCGGAAGCTATTTTGCCAACTCCAAATCCTCCGGAACCCGTTGTGAGGAAGCGGAAGGGGTGGAGCGGTGCCGGGCAGCGGCGGCGGCCATGGCCACGGCGGGGGCATCGGAGGGATGCGAGCAGGGATGCGAGCAGGGATGCGAGCAGGGATGCGAGCACTACCGGCGGGGCTGCCGGCTGCGGGTGGGTGAGCGGGACGCGGCCGTGCCGTGGCAGGGCTGGCGGCCGATCCGCCGTGCCCCGGTCCATGCCCTGTCCTTCCGTTCGCAGGCACCGTGCTGCGGGAAGCTGTACCCGTGCCGGCTGTGCCACGACGGCGCCGAGGAGCACCAGCTGGACCGGTTCCGTGTGTCCGAGGTGCAGTGCAGCCGCTGCCGGCTCCTGCAGAAGGTGGGCGCGGGGAGGCGCGGCAGGGCTCGGTCCCAGCGCGGTCCCACCTCCCTGCTCCATGCCGGCTTGTGGCCGGCTGTAGTGTCGGGGAGGTTTGGCTGGGATGGGGGGAAAAGGCTCTTCACCCAGCCCCGATCCTGGCAGAGGGCAGGAGGTGTTTGGGCAGTGCTCTCAGGCTCCCGGTGGCGTGCTCGGAGCTGTCCTTTCGGACATGGTGAGCCTTGTGGGGCCCTTTCCAGCTCAGGATGCTCTGTGAACACGGAGCGTGTGGCGCAGGGCTGTGTCTGGAATATCTCCTGTGAGGGAGACTCTACAGCCTCTCTATTCCATGCCACAGGAAGGAAGCTTTTCCTCCTGTTCAGGTGGGACTGCCTGTGCATTCAGCTTCTGCCCATTGCCTCTTGGCCTGTTTCTGGGCACCACGGAGCAGAGGCCGATTCCATCCTCTTGGCACCTTCCACATCCCTCCAGACATTGATTGGATGCCCTCAGCCATCCCTTATCAGGCCCAGCTCCCTCAGCCTGTCCTCTCCAGGCTGTTGACAGCTTCTTAGCTCTCAGGCTTTGCTCCAGGAGCTCCATGCCCCTCTTGGAGCCTGGAAGCGGACGCAGCACTCAGGATGTTCGTGTCCCCTCAGGCCCAGCAGCGCTGTGAGGGCTGTGGCAGCCTCTTTGGGGAGTACTACTGTGACATCTGCCACCTGTTTGACCGTGACAAGAAGCAGTACCACTGCCAGGAGTGCGGCATCTGCAGGTGCGTGTGGGCGGCGGGCCCGGCTCCGCGGCCACCGGCTCTGCCCTGACACCTCTCTCCGCAGGATTGGCCCCAAGGAGGATTTCTTCCACTGCTCCAAGTGTAATTTGTGCCTGAGCCTGAGTCTCCAAGGAAAGCACAAGGTGAGGATACGCTGCTTACCTCTGTATCTTAAAAGGTAATGCCTTGAACATGAAGCTGGATGGGCCTCAGCCCCATCTGAGGCCACAGGAACAGGGAGAGCAGTGGGTTCTCCTTCTCTGAATTCACCTAACAGCAACACAGGTGCCACTAATTGAAGACATAATAAATTTTTCATATTGGAGCTTTACAGTATAGGAAAACACAGAAAACTACACAGCCGAATAACGTTTTCTTCTCTTTTTCCATTTGCAAAGTGTATTGAAAATGTCTCCAGGCAGGATTGTCCAATATGTTTGGAGGTGAGCAGCTTCTTTTCTTCTCCTGGATAACTGTGTGGCTCTATTTTTGACTGTGTGTGAATTAATTTTCTAATTTTTTGTCTTATATTTGACTCCAAACAGGATATTCATACATCTCGAGTTGGAGCCCATGTTCTGCCCTGTGGTCACCTCCTTCACAGGTAAAGCAGACACCTGAGAAGGGGAAATACCTGCAGCATTGTGCTGGGTGTTTATTCAGCAGCGTTCAGTCTGGACCAGTTGCTTACAGCTGGTTTCTGAGGCACCTGCACTGTGGGGACAGTCTGTTTCTCCAGGAAGTATTTTCTGTAGTGGGGTTGTCTTCCTTCTCAGTCTGCTTTGACAGTGTGAAGCACTCCTGTCACTTGGCCTAGGGATGTTCTTAATTTCTGCCTTGGGGATACCCTTGTGGCTTATTCCCTTTGTGCAGTCCAGGTGTGTTCCTTGTCAGTAATTCCATTCTTCTTACTGAGATGTGTTTCCTTTTCAGAACATGTTATGACGAAATGCTGAAGGAGTAAGTATTTCCAAACATCTTTCCTCTCAGTATTACCCTAGTCCAAACATATTGCTTCAAGAGGTAAAAATCACAATGCCAATTCTGTACCAACTGACTTAAAGACAGCTTCTAAAGGCATGAAGGGCTAACTTCAAGGGGTAAAGGGCATTTCACTTCCAGTTCTGTTTGCCAGAACTTGCTGCTTCATGCTGTTTGTTTGCCTGGTGCAGTGTGAAACTTGTCCCTACCAATGGACTTGTTTCATGGTCTGCCTTCATCTTCTGATTAAGACGTTCCCCCCTCTTTCTGCCAGTGGCTACAGGTGTCCTTTGTGCATGCACTCGGCGTTGGACATGACCAGGTACTGGCGCCAGCTGGACAACGAAGTGGCACAGACTCCCATGCCCACGGAGTACCAGAACATGATGGTGGAGGTAAGAGGGCAGCCTTGCCTGGTTTTCACGGAGCTGTCCCTCAGAGTTGCTGGCAGTAGAGGGCACTAGGGACGAGTGCTGGATCGGGAGGCAGACCAAGGGGCGGGGAATGCTGAGGAACAGTCACGCGTAGGCTCAGGGTGCTCATCATTCTTGTTTATACACACACACACACCGCCGGTGCTGCAGCCTCTCCCTCCCGCCCTGCCTCCCCTGTGTGTGTGTGCAGATCCTTTGCAACGACTGCAATGCCCGCTCCACGGTGCAGTTCCACCTTCTGGGCATGAAGTGCCAGAGCTGTGAGTCCTACAACACGGCCCAGGACGGGCGGTGCCGGCTGTCCTTGGAGGAGCAGTGACCGGGAGGCGCGCCAGGCCCTGGGAGAGACTGTTTTGCAAACAGAGCAACTCTTGTATCACTAAAAATTCCAGTATTCCAAGTTTAAGGAGTCCTTTACTGCATCTTGGAGGAGGCAGGTGAGAGGAGCAGCACGAGGAGATGTGAGGAGCAGCTGACGCAGCAGCAGGAGTTTTGGGGCAGCTGAAGGGGAAGGGAGGTTGGAGGTGCAGCTCTCAGAGGAAATGGGTCACTTTGAGAGGCCTTTGGGGCTGTGTGTGAGGACGTGGTGTTCCCTGGGAATGATGTGTGTCCACAGGGACAGCGGGCAGGAGTGGCATCCTCGGCTCCCTTCGTGCACTGTCACCTGTGTGTACAGAATTCCCTCGAAACAAGGGAATTGCCCTGCCTGCTGGGATGACCAGCTGGAAGATCCATGTGCAAATCCCCCCTTTTTCCCCTGGGCACCCATCCTGACTCGCTGTCGTCCCTCTGCTCAGATTCCTTTGCCAGTTGCAGTTGCTTTTTCCCCCATTTCTTCCTCATTTTGCACTGTTCACTGGCAAAGGCCGAGGTGGCATGGGGTTTGAGACATGTACATAGCTGGATTTTGCTGGTTAGGTACCTAAAGTGAAGCACATCCTTCACATCAGGCTGAGCCTGAGGTGTTCACTGAAATAAAGCAGTCCAGGGTCCAATTTTCTGTGGTTTTGGTGTTTGCTAATGGTAGAACTTCACTGAGGGAGAGAATGGGGGAGGTGAACGGCTGCCTTTTGAAAGAAATAAAAACCCCAACTCCACCCTCTTTCGTGTAACATCCTGCCTGAGGTGTTTTGCAGTCTTAAATATTGCAGAAAGTCCTTGATTTCTGTGAATCTTACATGCAGATACTTTACAATAATAAGATTTTAAAAAGGGTCCATTACTCTTCAGGTTATAACTACTCATTTTTAACTTGATCTGTTGTAAAATGAGCTTTTCTTAATCCAGCAGTGCCCGGTTTTTGTAGGGAATATTTAGGATTTGGATGGTAGCTATTGTAGCTTGCCTTGGCTGGGGTATCTTTTTCTGGAGCACTTTTCTCACTGCTATAAATAAATATAAAATAAGATCTCTATTAAAATAAACAAACGACGCTGTGCATGATGTGCTCTTCTTTCACACACGTACTCCCTGGAAATTCCCAGCTGAGTTTAAACCATGATTCAGTGCTGAAAAATGGTTGGATGTGGGGAGGTGTGAGGCCCGAGACACTGTTAGGAAAATAAGTGCTTTATTTTTTAAAAGCTCCTGTGTTTTCATGTTTTTGTTCTGTGGTTCAAGCAAGACTCCCTGCTGCTTTGGTTGGCATCTGGTGACTCCATCTCCTTCCCTGGATGGAGACCTGCTCCCAGGTAAGCCTGGAAGTGCCAGTGGGGCTCCCATCAGCCTGCAGGAGTTGTCATCCCAGAAAACTCTGGCCAAGTAGCCTTGGAGTGTGTTGCTAATGGTAAAACCATGCTGGTCAAGTCCTCAACCAAGCAGGTTAGTTGTTAAATGGGAAGCTAATTTTATTCCAATTATTAATTGGAAATATTCTTGTTTGAGTTCCAACCACAAGAGGAGGCTGAAAGAAAATTGTTAGTTGAGCTGAGCTTTGGTGTTGGGAAGGAAAATTATTCATGGTGTGGGATCTAGGTGATTTCAAACTTTTGCTCTCCTGTTTTTGGTGTTTGCCTCTGGAAAGTGCATGAGAGAATGTGAACTGTTTGGTGTGTTTGTCTTGGCATCGAGCCCTTAACTCCCTTTGCCAGGGAATAAATGGCACGGCAGGAAAAGGAATGGCATTTTCAGGGGATAAAGGGCAATGGAGGGGGGGATAAAGACAGGCAAGGAGCTGCTTTATGGGGTGGGAGATGCTGTATGGAGTTTTGCTGCCCTGTCCATGGAGGTGCAGCCGATGGGATCGGGGTGATGAGAGGATCGAGGGATGGAAGCAGCAGCTGCCTTGGCCACAGCTTGCCCTTGGGCTATGGGAGCTGTTGGGAAGCTCCTGCACTCCCTGACACCTGGAATCCTGCCTTGCTCACCCATCCAGGCCACAGTCGGGAGCAGATGGGATTATTGCTGCTTTGTGGGAAAAAAAGTGGAGTTCCAGCAGGCTCAGGGCTGTGGCCACACTCAAGGTCACGGAGCTATTAATAAAGGCAGGGCTTGCCAAGGTCTGTGGAACGTGGGAGGAGGGACTCGGGGAGGCAGCAAGTGGAGCAGTGCAGGGCTGGGGGGCTGTGCCGGGCCCTCCATCCCATGGGAAGACACAGGACGATGGCTCAGGAGCTGTGGGGAGTGAGGATCTCCAGTTTTGGGCTGGTTTGATGCCTCTGGTGTGGTTTTGGCTCGCTGCAATAACGTCACGTGAGATGGAAGTGGGGTGTCCTGTGTTAAACCTCTGGTTCAGCCACCCCCTCCTGGGGCTGATGTCTTGCCCCTGCCCAGCTGCAGGGAAACCATCTGATTTTAAATCTCCAGCTGGAAGGGATGCAGTGGGGGAGAGGCTCCTCGTGTTGGGCTGTTTACACCTCAGAGGGACAACTCCGAGAGCATCCAGGGGTGTGCTGGGACCTCTGTGCTGGAACTGGGGCAGTTTCCTTGGATTTGCTCCTCCGTGGTCCCAGCTGGAGGTGGGTTCTGACACCTGAAACAATTCCTGTGCCCAAGCAGCAGCTGGGAGGCCACAACCTCGCTGCTACTCACTCTGGTAACTCCGTGCTTGGAAAAGGTGGCTGATTGATGGGAATACTCCCAAATGAGCCAAACAAGAGCATCATTAGGGAGGCCAGAGGGAGTCTGGAAGTGGTGATAAAGCTTCCAGCTGGCGGCTCTTTGGTGAGGGCAGGGTGGGAGACATGGGGTGAGATCGCGGCGTGCCCGGCGCCACTGCCACGGGCTCAGGGAATGGGATGTTCCACACGCACAGAGCTATGCCAGCTATTTTTTTTCCTATATAAATAAAATATCTCTGAGATGAAACGGAGCCAAAGCGGGCTGAGGGAGTTGGGAGGAGGTGGAATTGAGCCAGAGTTGTGGGAGCCTTTGGGAAAAATGGGAATTTGCTGGTTTTGCACATGAAGCAAGTTGGTAGCAGGGTTAACCCTGTTGATTTTTAAAAAAGAAGGAGAAAGGCCTTTTTTAGAACGTGTCCTGGTTGCTTTCTCCCCTTTTCCCCTGCTATACTGGTGTGGCATAGAAACTCCTCGATAAGCCAGAGGGTCTGAGGTGGGAGTGTGAGAGGGGTGTTTGAAGCCATTGCCTGGAACACAGGCATCCTCCCTCTGAGGGCATTACGCCCCAAAATAAAGTGTTTTTTTCCACTTGGCAAACGCATCTGTTATTCCCTAGGCTGCCCTGTGCCTTGGCTCATGCTGCCACACAGTCCTGCAGATGGAAACACATTGTCCGTGTCCATGTCATCCGTGTCACTGGGGATGGTATCTGATCCCAGAGAGGTGAGGAATCTCTTTTCACCCTGGGATATCCCCAAAAATATGTACAGCTCCTTCCTTGCATTGTAGGGCAAGAGAGAGTAATTCATTTTGAGGATCCAGGCACAGGGTTGAGCAAGAAAACTGAGACCCTGTTTGTGTCCTCCTTCATGAAAAAGGAATTTATTCCCTTGGGGTTATATACTTTTAATTGAAGGTGATGGGTTTTCCTCTCTCTTTATTCCCTCAGTTTGGCAGCAGCAGAACAACACCCAATTTATTTCCAGAGAAGAAGGGTGGTGGTTTTTTAATTCAGTTGGTGGCTTTTCTTAGCCAAGGTAGCCTAATTTGCTGCTTTTTGTGTGCCAAAAAAGTGAAAAGGAATTTTGCTCATCATAAGCATCTTCAGAGCCTGTGTTCCCCTGTGTATGCTCCCAGCCCCAGCAGTTTTCCAGGCTGGCCGTGGCAGGGAGGTGCAACAACCATCCCCAGGTTTATTTTCCTGTTTTCACCAAGTTTGAACTAAAAGGAGGTTGAGGGACTGCACAGGCAGAAATAGGCTCAGGAGGAAAAGGAAAATGCACAATGATTGCACTTCCTTTTGGGAAGCAGAGCTGCCCTAATTTCTCCTGACCTTTCCAGGTGCCTGTTGTGGCGCCAGCCGCGTTTACTGCGCTCACTTGGTGGAAATCCAGGGATGATGCATCTCTCATTGCAGGAAGCAATCATGGAAACGCCCCAAGCTTTGATGTTTCCAGGGATGCTCCATTTGGGAGGCAGGGTGAACAGCAGAACCTGTTCCCGAGCTTGTACCACCTGTACCAGGACACCCCAAAACTTTGCAGCATCATTCAGGGCTGGTTTGTTTCTTAAGGCCACATGGACTGAGGGCTTTGCTTTCCACTGCCAGGGAATTTAGCCAGAGGGAGAAGTGGCTGAGCATCCCCTTCCCAAACCAGCTCTGCCATCAGCCACCCCCAGCATTCCCACACTAAAAGCTGAAGACAAATTGGGGATGAAAAGAACACTCCGCTCTATTTTAGCAGCCAAGTTTTTTTGAGGAATGGAAAAAAGCTGTGGAGCAAGCAGCCACGTGTGTGAAATGAATGGTCAGTGCATCTTCCCGTGGGCTCCTGGGCTGCTTTTGGGACCAAAACCCCCACAATTAAATGGAAAAAACTTAAATTAGGAACTTCTGCATGGAAGCACCTGCGGGAAAGGAAAGGGAGCAGTGACTGAGCAGCCCCATAACCGTTCATGGATCCTGGGGAGACAAGGCAAAGAATTTCATAGCAGGGCAAGACAGGGAAGTGATTTTAGGGGAAGGGACATGTGAAAGCACAGGAGACCCTGGCACACTGCTGGCTCTGGCTCAGCAGCCCCCCGCTCCCCCCCCAAATCACAGAGCAGCAGCATTTCAAAGGATGCCACAGCACTGGCTGAACCTCCATCCTCTCCCTTGACCTCCCCAGCCCTTCCCCTTGGGGAATTTGGCTTCCCTTGTCTACAAGAAATGGCTGAGCTGGCCCAGGACCTGGTTTCCTGTCAAAGGCCAAAATTCAGGTTTATTGTCAGCACTGCACGGCCGCCCTCCAGTTCCTGCCATCCACCAGCCCCGCTGTAATCCTGCCTGAGGCAGGGGCTCCGTGCCCGGCATCTCCTTGACAGTGGATGCTCTGCTGCAGAAGCGCTTATAAATTAAGGGTTTATGGGGTTTTTTTCTTCATCCCTGCTAGGAATCATCATAGAGAGGGTTGTTGTAGTTGCCCCAGGAGCCGTAGTCGTGGTCATCCAAAAGCCGTCCGTAGGAAGAGTGCCTGCCAGGGAAAGCAATCCTGGGGTTACTTTGAGGATTTATTACTTACTTTGCCAAGGGATGAAGAAATATTAACACAAGGGCTCCCTAGGTCGTGCTTTGGGATATTTTAAGAGGAAGGACCAGGAGAAGGGAAGTGAAGCCCCAGCTGAGTTTTGCCCCCATTGATGAGCCTGGACAGGGCAGGGAATTAAAACCAGACCTTTGCTCATCTCAGCTTTCAGCAAAGGCTCATCAGGGATGCTCAGCACTGGGCTCTGCTGCTGTTTATTGTCCCAGTGACAGCGAGACCCATGGCAGCAGCCTTCCCAAGGGGTAATTGCTGGATATGACTATGCTGAGCAGCATCCCTGGCATTTGAGCAGGGCTATTGCAAAATGAGGGATCCAAACTCCGCTTACAGGAGTGGTAAGAAACGGAGCCCTGCTGGTACCAGAGCCCCACATTGCCCTGCCAGGCTTGGGGACAGCATCTTCCTGGCACTTAGCAGCATCCTGGTGACGGTGAGATGGAGCCTCAGGGAGGGGGGGCCACCCCAAAACCAGCCTTACCTGATCTTGAGGTACGCAGCTGCCCCGAACACCAGCACCACCACCACGATGACCGTCACAGTTATGGCCACGATGCTCCCTGTGCACAAAACACCAGAAGGGGCAGGGTTCAGCCCCACCACACACATCCCACACCCCAGCTGCTCCCAGCTCAGCCACACCAGCCATCCCTGATGGGGGAATATTCCCTCACTGATTCCCAAAGAGGAGACTGGGCCCCCCTCTGTTTTGGCCATGAACCCCTTCCCATAAATGCAGAGCAGGAATATGTAGGATGAAGCACAGCTTGGGCACTATGGACTCGCTC